CCCCCCCGACAAAAAAGAACCCCAAACAGACAAGCACTAATAACAATCAGAAAAAAATGAACATAAAAACAGCATAGGAAAAAAAGGTGATCCAATAAATGAATTGTGTAGAGAAAGTGCCGAGGTTTTCTGTAAATAGCCCACCGAGGCATCCAAGTGTGTCTCTATTTCTCTGTAAGGAGCCAAACAGACAGCGAGCAAATACCCACGAAACATGTCACTCTCCAGTGGGAAATGCTTCCCATATGATATCATTGCTATCAAACGTTTGTGTATGATTCTAAGTTGAACCTTAAAAGGGAAAAAAATAAGATATCTAACATAAAAGTGATGTCTTTTTTTTTGGTTTGTTTCTGGTAAGTGTTTTACGACGCTCGCAACTGCATAATATTATTAAGGTCATATGAGCGCGTGGGACACACTAACATTTTCAGTTTGGTCGGAAATTTTGAATTTTGCCCGGGTGGCGACCGAAGTCTATGCTCATATCAATTTCGGACCTTCAAGGGATCTTTAAAGTGCGCAACTTTCAAACGGGACCTCCGAGATTTTTCGCCCTAATCGGAGAAGACTGGGTGTAATTACCTTAAGATCAGGGGTGTGTCTGAAAAACAGCAGTAAGAAGGAGCCAAGGAGCAGCAGTAGAAAAGCTGCAGAAAGGGGGCAAATGAGGTGACGTGTGGGGGCAGGAAGTGGAGACGAAAGCAGACCACAGAACATTGTTAGAGAGCAGGAAAGAATGTGAAAGGAGACTATTTTTAGAAGAAACATTTTAGTCGCTATCCGGATTCGAACCAGGGACCTATAGAATGAGAGGCGAATACCTTAACCTCTAGTCCACGGTAGCCCTGCGAACCACACCAGAGCGTACACCTATCATCAACCAAAGCCAGAAGAGTTGTGTGGCTTCGATTCTTGGTCAGTTTTTTGTATGTATTGTTTTTCCAACGCCCTTTATGCACATTCATTTATATGACCATTCTTTATTACGATTTTTTTTTTAGTTTTGTAAACACATTTCGTTCTGTGATAAAACTTTCTTGTGTTCTGAATCAACAAACGAGTTTTGTTGACAAAAGTACAGAACTTCTGGTATATAGTTATTTTCGGGTCGTTCTACTCCTCCCCCCCCCCT